TAAATTGTCCTTAAAACATAAGAAGACATTCCTAATTATTAAGGCACAGAATTTACTATATTGTTTTCTAGCCTAGAATTAGGCTGACAGTCTTTTCTCACCCTGAGCCTCAATCATGAGACCTCCCCATCATGAAAACATTTTCCAAAATTCAATCAAGCTTTGTAACTTTTTAATCAATTTGGAATTTATCTAAAGGCTTTGTGTGCATTCTGATATTGGATAATGGCCTTCACATATACCTAAATTTTAATTATTGGAAAAATATGAATGCGTCCTTGTGTAAATGTGAATGTGGCTTTGCAAGTGTGGTTTAGGAATCTGAGATTCAGAGACTGTCTTGGAACATCCAATTGGCCCTTAAATGTCGTAAAAATATCCTACTACAAGGAGGCTAAAGATGAAGAGACAAAGATCATGGGAAGATAAAGCAGAGACAGAGGAAGATGCGATGTTGCTGCCTCGAAGGAGGGAGGGGCCACAAGCCAAAGAATGAATGGAATACAACTCAAAAAGCCAGGCAGGCAAGGAAGGAGTTGTCCTAGATCTCTGCAGGGAGTTGCCATGCTCATTCTTTAGATTGGATACCTTGATTTTGAAGTTTTGGACCCCAGAATTATAAAAGAAGCAATTTTTTATTTTAAGACATTAAGTCTGTGGTAATTTGTTATAGAAGTCCTAGGAAGCTAATATAGAGAGCTAACTTCAGAGTCAAAGAGTTCCAGGGATGCAGCTTTTTTGAGTCCTCACCTATGCTTGGGCGCGGGGGGTTCCTGATGTAACTACCTTTGGTCACCCATACCCTTGCAGCATTAGTGGATTCATTGGTTCACCATGCTAGCCTTTGGTGGAATCATTTCTTTGGTCTGACAATGCTGTGTTCTTTGGGGTGCATGGTAGGACAAGCCCCTCCTTTTCTATCTACCCTCTTTCCTCAGATTTTCTTGGTTTCAGCTGCATTTATCCTTCCAAATGAATCTTAAAATATATTTCTCTAGCACATATTTTGAATTTTGATCAAAATTGAATTTGATCGAATACATTTTTTTGTTTTTATTTTTTGGTCTTTTTGAGACACAGTCTTCCTATAGTTTCAACTGGCCTGGAACTTGCTATGTGGACCAGACTGGCCTCGATCTCCCAGTGACCCGCCTGCTTCTACCTCCTGAGTGCTGGGATTAAAGGAATGCGACACCATGCCTGGCTTGAAAACAATTTTCTTGAGGTGGGATCTTGCTATGTTGCCCAGGCTGATCTCAAATTTATGGACTCAAGTGATCTCACCTCAGTCTCTTGAGAAGGTGGGATTATGGGCATGAAAGCTTTAAATTTTTTTTTTTTTTTGAAATCTTTTTGAGACAGGGTCTCCCTGTAGCCCTAGCTAGCCTTGAACTCACAGAGATCTGCCTGCCTCTGCCTCTCGAGTGCTCTTGAATCTATATATGCAGACACATTTGAATAGTCCTATGCAGAATCATAGACTCCCTTTCCAGGACTTTTCTGTACCCATATCACTTGGCAAAATTTTATAGTTTTTCCACATTACACCTTATACAGTTCTTATAAAAGACTTGTTTCTTAAACATTTGTTTCTATGTGGAACAGGTCCTTTTAAAATTATATTTCTTGGGGCTGGAGAGATGGCTCAGCAGTTAAGAGGACTGGCTGGCTGCTCTTGCAGAGGATCCGGGTTCAGTTCCCATCACCTACATGGTGGCTAACAACCCTTGGTACCTCCATTTCCAGGAGATCCGACATCTTCTTCTGGCCTCCTCTGGCATTACATGACATAGGTGCACTTACATACATGCAGGCAATATACTCATACACATAAAAATATATTACAAAATGAAATTACACTTCTTATTAGGTGATAATGGTATGTAGGGGTACTGTTTAAATTTAATTTGACCACTCCACTGAATACACTTAAAGTCTTAGTGTTCTCTTGAAATTTTCCAGTGAGATAATTATATTATCTAAAAATTTTTTTAAATTCCTCTTTTCCACTATTTTCTTGTTCCTTTTTATTGTTTTATTGTTAGACTCCATTGTAGCGTTAAATATTAAAAAGCATTATCTATTCTTTTACTTTAGTTGGAATGCCTTTAACAGTTGACAAATATGATGCATGTTTTACTTTGCATATTTTATAGAGGTATTTTCACATAAACTGTACATACGCCTATTGATATATAAAAAATAAGAACACAATTGGTCTTTTATATCCGGATTGCATATTACAGATTTGACTTAACAGGTCTGGAGTAATTCTTTGGTTCTTATCCAACTTATGTTTCTTCGGGGTATTAGTATTTAAGTTTTTGTTTTTCTTTCTTTTGTCTGTTAGAAAACAGAGAAAACAGCTCATGGCTATATAAAGATTTTGAAAACTAGAGTGATGGGAACACTAGGCTTCAACCTATGGAGTTACTATTTTAATCTTTCTGTAAGAATATGCAACTTATAATTAGGTAGTTAGGAACTCCAAGTTTCTCCTTGTCAACTTCTCATCTTTTTTCAGAGATAAAAGAAAGTTTTATCTGTTTTTCCAAGGAACATATACTTTGCCTCTTATACAAAATATTCCAGAGTCGGGTGTAGTGGTGCATGCCTTTAATCCCAGCACTTGGGAGGCAAAGGCAAGTGGATCTCTGTAACATTAAGGCCAGCCTGGTCTACATAGTGAGTTTCAGGCAGACCCTATCTCAAAAAGATCAGAAAAAAAAATTCCAGAGGAAAAAAAGGAAGTTACACAATAATTTTTCTTTTTCATAAGAAATATACAACCTTGATACACCATCCAAAGACAATGTAAGAAAGCAAAACAAAAAAGCCCTCCAAAAAACTGTAGCGCAATCTCTTACATGAGTCCATATGAAAAATAAAAAGAAATATTGCCAGGCTGGAGAGATGGCTCAGTGGTTAAGAGTACCAGCTGTTCTTTCAGAGGACCTGGGTTTGAATCCCTGTACCTACAGGGTGGCTAACAACCATTTGTAACTCCAGTTCCACGGGATCTGATGGTTTCTTCTGACCTCTGCCGGCAGTGCAGGATGCGGGTGCACTTACTTGTACATATAAAATAAAAATAAATTTAAAATATTAAAACAAAACTACCAATTAAAATCAAGCAGTTAGCAGAGGCAGGAAGATCTCTGTGACATCAAGGCCAGCTTGGTCTGCATAGAGAGTTCTAGGCCAGTTGAGGCTACAGGGAAACCCTGTCTCAAAAAGGCAAAAAAAAAAAAAATTTTTTTTTGCAAGTGGAGTGTGGTGGTGCATGGCTCTAATCACAACACTCAGAAGCTAAGGAAGGAGGATGGAAAGTTCCAGACCAGGCAGGGCTACAGAGTGAGACTCTGCCTCTAAATACAAAACACAACTAATATAAATCTTCCACAAGAAAAAGAACCATTCAAGATAAATTGGATCAATATGTTCATGTGCAATTCCTTGATAATAATATGCACACAATAATAATCACACGAAAAATATTCAAACTCCTTATGACCATGAACATAAATTACAAAACAAATACTAATCGCTTTTCAAATGTATGACTCACGTATGAGGAAAAATCTCATACATCGTTTTGGGGTTGTGAACTAAGATTATGCTGGAGAAGAATTTAGGATATCTAGTAAAAGTGCGGATACTTTAAAATCAAGAAATGACACACTCAGATGTTATAGGATGTGTACATCATTGTCTTCATTTGACAGATACAGTAACCAAAGCATAGTCTGTTTTCCTATGACGTGAACGCATGTGAACCCCTTACAATTGTGCCTGCAGTATAAGTAAGCACCATAATAACACCTATCATCATCGTCGTCAATCAGCTGTAGGTCAGATTCTAGAAATCTATCATCAGTATTGGCAAAGAACCTATTTTAGATACTCTAGCATTGCATCTCTGGAAAGTATATTGTAAAAGTTAGATTAACCCACCAAACTTCGACGAGACTAAGAAGTTTGGAGCCGTTTACTCCTTTCCCACCCAGCGCAGCAGTGGAGCATGCTTCCACACAGTTCATGGAAACAGGCATCCTTCCAGTGGAAGATCCCACACGGATCCTGGAACATACCCCGTTATCCCTTCTCCAGGTGGTGGGACCCCAGGTTGGTTTCCCTAGTGCCACCCTTTAATTCCTTGTGTTTCGATGGCTGGCTACAGGTCTTATGCCTGCCTGGAACGCAGGGCCAGGGAAAGCGGAGCAGCCTTACGTGGGACAGGTTCAACTGGAAGGCCTGTCTCTCTGGAGTCAGTCCCCGGAGAGATGCTGCTCAGGGTCTGGGCACCTGTCCCACCTGGCCACCTAGGGGATGTTACTGACCTATTCTTCAGAGAACGGGAGGCGGCGGCGCCCAGGGCGGAGGGACGCTTCCGCAGGGTGCAGAGGCTCTGCTCCGGGCAGCTGGCAGCCCGCAGGACGCACCCCTCGGGCTCCACGAGGGAACCCCGGCTAACCGAATCCTGGAGCCAAAGCTAGGCCAAGACGATCGCCTCTGGGGGGAGGAGCTTGCAAGTCTAGGATGTAAGGCTACGTAGGCTAGGGGTGGAAACTAGCCGGAAGGCAGAGCTCGTGATGGGTCTAGGAAGTAGAGCTGGCGCGCTACCAGGGGTTTCAGGGGGAATCTGAGGGTGGACAGCAGAAATCAAGTAAAGAGCCAAAGGATCTGAAGTCTCCAGCAAACCCTTTCAAGGGCCACAAGTTCAGCGGTTTCCAACCCACAGCCCGCCCGCCGGGGTCCCGGGCCCAGCCCTCGGCCTCCTTCACCGCGTCCGGGGTCAGCCCCTCGGCTTCCCTTCCCGGTCCGGGGTCCAGCCCATCGGCCTCCTTCCCCGGGTCCTGGGTCCAGCCCCGCGGCCTCCCTCCTCGGTTCGGGGGTCCAGTCCCTCCGCCCCCCATAACACCCGTATCACGAGAATCCAGTGTGAAGCGCAGGGGGCCAGGCAGGGCTCCGGCGGCCGGAGTGCGCACGCGCAAGGGGTGGGCCGCCAGGTCGGCGGAGAGCAGTGACGAGCCCGGAAGCGCCTGCGCGCGCCAGTCCGCTCCAGAACTAGTTTTGTTCGGTGTCCTCCGGACCGGAGCCCTTCGGAGACAGCCCGCGGCAGGACCCGGCCGGCCTCAGCCAGCACCGCAGCAATGTCTAGCAACAGTTTCGCCTACAACGAGCAGTCCGGAGGCGGGGAGGCGGCGGAGCTGGGGCAGGAGGCCACCTCCACCATCTCTCCCTCGGGCGCCTTCGGCCTCTTCAGCAGCGATTTGAAGAAGTGAGGAGGGCTTGGGTGCGGAGCGGGGACCCCGCGGGCGGGCACCCGGCTGCTCTCCTAGCGGCCGGGTGGGTGGGTGGCTCCGGGGAGGTTCGGGAGGTGTTGGGGCGATCGCGGGGCGTGGAAGCTCGGGTAGTTTTCAAACTTTGGGGGCGGGGGTAGAAAAAAAAACCAGTTGGTGAGCTGAGGTCCCTGTTCCCAAACCATTGACTGTTGATCTGGCCTGGGCACCGACTGAACTAAGACTTTTAGTGAATTTCAAGTCTGCTGGATCAGACGTTGAGAAAGTCACTTATTTAAGGTGAAAAGAGTGGTTGGGGAATTGAAAGTGGGCATGTTGCTTTTGGGACCCTGAAATGTAGGGGCAAAGAGGTAACTTGGGGCTTTTTAATGACTGGACAGACTGGTTTCTGTCTTGACGTTCTTACATAAAAACTTCTGCACTAGGACACACACACCCCCATCCCCACAAAAAAACATGAGTAGAGAATATTTCAGGTGTTACCATGAACAAATCCTAAATTATGTACAAAATAATAGTGTGAATATTAAAAATGAACACTAAGCGATGTACACATAGTTTTGCAAAAAGTTGCTGAGGGTTCATTTTATTTTATTTTTTTAGTTTTGAGACAAGGGCCACTATGTAGCCCTGGCTGACCTCTGGAACTCAGGTATGGTAGAACAGGCTGATTGCAAACTCAAAGAGATCTGCCTGCCTCTGCCTCCTGAGTGCTGGGATTAAAGGTGTTTGCTGATAAGCCCCGATTTTAATTTAAACTTTCATAAGATTGGATAGTCTAAAAAGTGCTAATAATTAAAATTGTGATTAAAATTTGACTTGTTAAGAGAAATATTGTATATAACAGATAAAAATATCTGTGTTCATTATTTCCAGGATAGAAAAGCTTAAGTGATAAGTGCTCTCACTTGCCATTCTTGTGCATTTAGGTGACTGATCTAACAAGGGGCTTTTTTGTTGTTGTTGTTGTTTTAGCAAATATTTCAATTGTTGAATTAACCTGTGACTCTGCATCAGTGTTTTTCATATGATTTGCTAACAATTAATTTCTGATTTGTGAACATCTGAGATGTTCTTCTAGGTTATCAGATTTGGGACTGATTTGAGAAGAATGAATGGTTTTGACCTGTTATATTGAAGTCAGATTTGAGATAAGAAGAGCTAACATTTATTGAGTGCTTGTGCATGTGTGCACTGTACTGTATATTAATTATCACATTTTGTGTGTGTGTGTGTGTGTGTGTGTTAGGGCCTTGCCTAGGCAAGTGCTCTGCCACTGAGATATATCCCCAGTCCTTAGTCCTCAACAGGCTGTTAACTAGATACTTCTCTGATTCCACTTTACAGATGAGATTGGGGTACAGTGATTAATTGCCCAAGATCACAAAGCTGTCTGAATTTGAACCCAGACATTCTAATCTCAATTTGTGCTTGGCTATGCTATTAACTACTTAAAATTTATGGTGTTTTTATTAGAGAATGCATATAACTCAGTGTTTAAAACACTGACTCGTAGCTACAGATACTGTATGACCTTGAAGGTTCCTGGAGTTGGAACATTTTGGCCATAGAACTGCAGTGTAATGGAGTGTCCAGAAACAAAAAGGCTACTGTTCTGGTTACTTAATCTCACAGGGTCCACATACCTGCCTTTGTAAAATTGTGATGCCACTTGCCTTCTAAAAATCAAACCATAAAATTCATGTTAAAAAAAAGACCAAAAAGCAAACTCACCCTGGGGTTGGAGAGATGGCTCAGAGGTTAAGAGCCCTTGCTGCTCTTGCAGAGGACCAGGGTTTGGTTCCCAGCACCCACATGATGCCTGACACCCTTCAGTAACTCCAGTTCCAGGGGATCTGACACCTCTTCTGACCTCCTTGGGCATTTCATGCATGGGTGTACTTAAATACATGCAGGCAAACACTTTTTTTTTTTTGCTTTTGAGACAGGCTCTTATTATTTATTTACTGTGAATTTATAATCCTTTTTGCCTCAGACTCTTAAATGCTGGAATTTACAGACATGAGCCACCATGCCCAGATCTTTTGTGCAAATCTTTAATGGATTACTTTGAAGCCCTTTTTTTAACTTTAAAAAATTATTTCAGTTTTTCTTTCTTATTTATTTGTTTGTTTGGCCTTTTTGAGACAGGGTCTTCCTGTAGTCCCAGCTGGCCTGGAACTCACTATGTAGATGGGTCTGGCCTTGAACTCACAGAGAGCCACCTGCCTCTGCCTCCCAAGTGCTAGGATTAAAGGCATGTGCCAACCACTTGACCCTCAATTTTTTTTCCCCAACAGTAGTACAGAGAACCACCCTTTATGTAGAATCACCAAGTAAAAATTTTATTTTTAAAATTAATAAAAATTTATTTTTATTTTATGTGTATGAGTGTATTGCCTGAATGTATGAAGTGCACTTGTGTTGTGCAATGCCTGCAGAGGCCAGAAGAGGGCATTGGATCCCCTGGAACTGGAGTTACGAGAATTGTCAGCCACCATGTGGGTGCTGGGATTTGAACCCTGGTCTTCTGCAAGAGCAGCTAGTGCTATTAACTGCAGAGCTATCTCTCCAGCCCCCCCCCCCAAATTTATTTTTAAATTATGTGTTTGTGTGTATGAGTCTGTGTGCATGAGTGTAGTGCCCAGAGTGTCCAGAAGAGGACATCGGATCCTCTGAAACTGGAGTTACAGGTAGTTGTGAGTCATCTGGCATGGGTTCTGGGAATTGAACTCTTTACAAGAGCAATATGTGCCGTTAAGCTGTTTTAACTGCTGAGCCATATCTACAGTCCAGAATCACCAGTTTAAAAACTGCCTGCCTGCTCTTTCTCCCCATTCCTTTCCTTACCTCCCTTTTTTTCTCTTTCCCTCCACATGCACCCAGATGCATATGCACATTCTATCATTGTCTTCTGAATCATGGAGAATAAACTGTATAAATCATGCCCCTTTACCCTTTAAAACTTAGTTTGTATTGTTTTAGAAATAAAAATAATTCTCTATGGTTACTGAGGAAGTTTAATCTTGGTACAATATAGTATATAATCCAGTTTTGCTGTTTGTTCCAATGGCCTCTTTTTTTAGAATGTTTTTCATGTGGCTGGAGAGATGACTTAGTGGTTAAGAGCATTTGCTGCTCTTGCAGAGGACCTGAGTTCACTTCCTATCTTCCACATGGTGGCTAACAACCATCCTTAACTCCAGTTCCAGGGCATCTGGCACCCATCTTCTGGCCTCTGCAGGCGTTGTACAACATGGGTGCACTTTATGTAGATTCAGGCAAAACACTCATACATGTAAATAAAAATAAAAAAAATTTAAAAATTAAAAATGTTTTTCATTTAGTACAGGAGCTAGTCTAGTGTCATATAATACTTTACTTAGTTATCATAGTCCTTTAATCTCCATGAAATTAAAGTAGTTTTTTAGCCTTTGCCTCACATGACCTTGATATATGTAAAGAATACAAGCCAGTTATTTTATAGCATACTATTCAGTTGAACTTTGCTGGTGTTTCCTCATGTTTAGATTTAGGTTGTGTGGTCCTGGCTAGAATACTGCCATAAGTGATCTGTGTTTAGACTGTTAACGGCCAGAGATGTGGGACACCCATCTTCGTCTTGCTCATTTTCCTAGTCAGGGGCTTGTCTTGACTATATGATTGCTATTTGTTTTTTTGTTTTTCTAATCTGTTTGTGAGGAGATACCTTGAGATCATGCAGATAGCTTCCTCATTAAAGTCTTCACTTGTGTATTCAGCAGCCAGACATCAGTTTTCTTTTATTGTTTTTTTTTTTTTTCCTTTTTTTTTTTTTTTTTTTTTTTTTTTTAAAAAAATTCCTGTAGCCATAGCTGGCCTGGAACTTGCTATGTAGTCCAGGCTGGCCTCAGTCTCAAAGGTCTGCTTGCCTCTGCCTCTGCTGGGATTAAAGGCATGTATCACCATACCTGACGAGTCTTTTTTTTGGTCTTTTTAAAACAGGGTCTCCCTATGGCTCTAGCTGGCCTTGCACTTGCTATGTAGACCAGGCTGACCTTGAACTCACAGAAATCTATCTGCCTCTGCCTCCCGAGTGCTGGGACTAAAGACATGCTCCACCACGCCTGGTTTAGTCTTCTTTTTTTAAGACTAATTTATTTTTATGTGTGTGAGTGTTTTGCCTGCATGTATGTAAGTGCACCTTTTCCCCCCTTTCTTTTAGAATGTTATACACTTTTATAGCTTTTAGTTTTCTTTTTTAAATATTTTATTTAGTATTTATTTTATGTGTTTTGAGTATATTGCCTGCATCCATGTAAGTGCACCGTGTTTTGTGATGCCTGAGGCGATCAGAAGAGGGCGTTGGATTCCCCTGGAACTGGAGTTACAGACCGTTGTTAGCCACTATGTGGGTGCTGGGAGTCAAACCCAGGTCACCTGCAAGAGCAGCCAGTGCTCTTAGCTGCTGAACCTCTCTCCAGCCCCGTAGCTTTTAGTTTTCTTATGTTATTTTCCTATTTTATCTTAAAAAAAAAAAAAAGAACCTCTTTTATCTTAGCCCAATTGGGCGTGTGTACGGGAGTGTGTGTGTATGTAAAGAAATAATTTAAATGTCTTCTGGCTTAAACATTTAGTTAGAAAATAATTTCTGGAATGAATCAGATAAGACTAGTCAATTTTTCTTAATTTCTACTGAATTTGTAAATGTACTGCATATAAAGGATTAAAGCCATTTTGATCTTCTTATTACCAGTTAGTAATTTATACATATTTATGGCATTCAGTGAGGTATTTCAACAGGTATACATTGTGTATTGATCAAATTGAGGGTAACTAGTATTTTCTGTTTTCTATTTGTTTGGAGGCTTCAGCACTTCTTTTCTAATTTTTCATAAACTATATAATAGTGTATTAAGAACTATGATCAGCTTACTGTTCTAAGGAATGCTGGAACCTACTCTTATCTAACTTTTTGGTAGTCATCTAACTACTCTCT